AGAGGATACCACCCCATCCAATCCACCCCACAAGCATTGCCATGGGTCAGCTTTCACCCAGCAGCTCAGCTTTCTGAGAGCACGAAGCATAATCCCAACCAACCTTACTTCCCACTCCCCACTGCCTGCTTCATGCCAGCTGGTGGCTGGAGACTCATCCCTTCCCACTCCCTCCAATAACTGTGTTGGCAATTTGCTTCCCACAAGCAAAGGAATCAAGCAACATCCTCTCTAGCCCTGCGTACCAAGAACAAATCAGCCCACTGTGAGTGCTGCACATCTGAAGCTGTCCCAGCCTGTCACCATCACAGTGCTGTGGATGGGACTCAGTGTCCACAAGGCTGATTTGTGTGCTGGAGCTGTTAAAATATCATTATTCTAAATTCTTGATACGGCTCTTGAATTAAATTTAAGAGTTTGGAGAGGCACACATCCCTGTTCCAACTAATCAGAGCAGAGACCTTCAAAACACAGGCAGCAATACAGAGGCTTAGAGGTCTCAGGGGTTGCTGCTGCAGACACTGAGCAGCTCTTCACCCTTTCTTAGCACATAATCACCCCCTGCTCCCCCTCTCCTGGTTATGGACTCAGCCTTTCCAGCAGCATAGCAGAAATTGTTCATCCCACTCGGTTAGTGCCTGAGGTGCCCAGAACAGGTAAGGAACAGCCTGGAGCTTCACCAGCTAATGAGACACTACAGAGCAGATCCTTCATCTCCCAGTTCCTTGCCTTAAACAATGTTTCCTCCTCCTCAGCTCCCAGTACAATCCAAAAACACCCTGGGTGTCCTGACTCAGTTGCTTGTCTCTGACTCAAAGGCTCATCCCTGCCAGGCATCTCCTTCATGGAATACCCAGCAAGAAGGAGGTTTTTGTGCGTTTTTGTGTGTTTCTCCAGACCAAAGCCAGGGAGGACATTTCAAACAACCTGGTGAGTACAAAAACATCACAGAACTTATGAAACTTGAGAAAGGAGCATAATCCATAGCCTTGAACTCTGCACAGTGAGGCTCTTTCACCTCAGGGCAGACACCCCAGTGTCAATCTGCAATCTGTTCAGGAGAACCATGAGCAGGATGCCAAGGCAAACTGGGGAAATGAGGAAAGCTTCAGCCTTTATCTCCAGACAGAAATAACTCAGCATTTCTCCCAGCCTAATGCAACACATCACTGAGGTAAGAAGGGCTCCTGACTACTTCAGTCAATCTTGCCAGAACCTAGTCCATGGCTTATTGGTTTTCATGTGTAATTATCAACATTCAGGTTCCACTAAATGATTTCAAATAAATCCTTGGATGACTAACAGACAGCAGCTCTAGAAAGTCACATAGTAGCACTTGAAAGCCCAGATTCAGAGCATTATTTGGGGCCCCAGGTAGCTCATTGTGTACCACAAGCCCTCATAACTGTATTATCTCAGTTTTCCTGCTACAGAGCCCCCGGAATTGTCCTGCAGTCCATGGAAAGGCAGTTTCTGCCACAAACTTAGACAGAAGGTGAAATTTAAGCTCCACTATTTCTCAGCCATCAGGAGGCAGTGGTAGATACCAACGAACCACAGCTCACACTGGTTATTGTAGAAGTATTAACTGCTTAATCCCCAAAGTCCTGTTCTCAAAGGCAGATTTGTTCAGGTTTTTTTTTCCTTAAAAGCCACCTTATACCTCCCTAGCCCAGCAGTGATAAGTGACAACTGAGGTTTATTTAGCCCACAAACCTTCCTCAGTTTGTTTGGACAGAAGTCTCTTCCCATTGCCCTGCCCAAATTCCCAGCTTCAACATGCTGTGGGAATGATCACAGGAATCAAAGTATCCTAAAGCAGGAAGGAATTTGCCAAAAACTCCCAGGTGAGCCTGGAAAACAGACTGATCTCACACCTCCCAGACAAGCTGAAACACCTGACACCATCCCCTGCTTTGCATCCAAACCCAAGTCCTTCTGTGTGTGCTTAAGGTCTGCCAAATCCTGTTGAAATGGATCACCAAACCTTCCCATGTTCTACTGTAAGAAGTTTAAGTTGCCTGTATGATACTCTGGGAGCTCAGACTCGGGATGTTTTCCATTATAATATAATTAAGTATAATATTAATTAGACAGCTGTATGCTGGAGTACAGCTAACCTGTGATAACAGGTTTGTTGGACTGCAATGATATGAGCAGAGCTGAGGAACTGTGATAACACCACATGTTCTACAGTGCACACAAGAATTGAAGGACTTGCCATCTTCAGGGAGTTTCATGGACTCACAGAATGGTTTGAGTTCGGAGGGGCCTTAAAAATCATCTTATCTCAACCCCCCTGCCATGGGCAGGGACACCTTCCACTAGACCAGGTTGCTCAGAGCCCCATCCAACCTGGCCTTGAACATTTGTAACACCTTTTTCTGTCCCAAATCACTTAATGCATCTACACACAAACCCTCCTGGTATCAAGACCTGCTCCACGGGCTGCAAGTTTAAATGGATGGGCCATGTCATCCATCTCAGACACCATTTTCCAAGTGTTACTCGTTGGCAAATACATGAAGTCTGAGCCACAAACAGCTGAGGCACAGCTGGTTTTTGCAGAATTACTGAAATATTTCCAAACATCACGCCAGGAACTGCAGGAGCTGTTAACGGAGGGATTAAAGCAGGTAGCTGTACCTGGCAGAGCTGTTCAGCTCCAGCACAGAGCACACAATTCCCACCTGGCTATGCCTCATGTGCTACACAAAACTAGAAAAACAATCCCAAGGCCAAACTTTCCTCTGCTTTCTCAAAAAATACTGAGACTATTTACTCTAAGTTCATCCAGGAGTTAACCACAAGGAACTTGTGAATATAGGGACTGCAACAACATGACTTGGACACAACAGAAAAGGACTGGAAGGATTTAAAACCATCCCCACACACTACAGCTCCCCTCTGCTTGCCCCTGGAACAGAGTCAGGAACAGGAAGGAGGGTCAAGAACAGGCTGGCTTGTTCAAAAGAGACAGCCAGCCCACATTTTTAGTCCTGAGAATCTTTTTTCCACTTTACTACCATTTTTTTTCCCTCCCATAGAGAAAAAAATGACACAAAAACAAAAAAAAAAAAAAAAAAAAAAAAAAAAAAAAAAAAAAAAAAAAAAAAAAAAAAAAAAAAAAAAAAAAAGAGCTGTGGGCAAACCCACCACACTTACCTGCTCCAAGAGCCCAGCACTGGTTTATTCACTGTTGTGTCTCTCCAGTCAAATCAAACCCTTTCTTCCTTGGGGTGAGGGCACTGAGGAGCTGCTTTGGCCTCCACCATCAGCTTCCTCCACGGCTGCTTTGGGAGCTGTACATGCCACCCAGACAGCAAGAGCTGGATCCTGGAGCCACACAACCCACGCTTTTCCTCCCTGGTAGTCTCCAGGCTTACAGGCACACATCCATCCCTGTTTGAGCTCCCAGGACCCCCTGAGCAGACCATTCACTCAAAAAGCCACTGCTCAGCTCTGTAACCATTATTTTAGCTCCACAAATAGTCACTGCAGAGAGCCCAGGACAGTCTCCATCAGCTGCTCCACTCAAACTGCATTAGGGTTCTACCCCATGCAAACAAAGACCCCTAATCTAACAAAAGAAACCCACTGAGCTGACCACAGTCACGGTTTCAAAGCAGTTATACAGAAACTTAACACTAAAACTCCTAACCCAAATGCAGAAGAACATCTAAAGGAAAAAAAAAGGGGGGCTCCCCCTCACCCTCCATTTATAAGAAGAGAATGGGAAGTGCAGCCCCCCAGGACCACCCACACCCAGCTGATGACACTCAGAATTAGGGCTGATAAGAGGATTCAGCTGGGGAGAACATGAGTCCCACCATGAACAAGGCTCTGCTGGTGCTCCTGAGAGGAACAGGATGTCCCCCCACCACATGACAGCTAAAATCCCAGTATTGAAAAGAAACACAGACCGAGATTAGTCTTGACATTTCTGGGGCTTGTAATCACAGTGGGTGACAAAAGAAAATTCTGGATCAGAGCCTTTCCCTGAGCAATTTAAACACATCTATTTTAAGGGAAGGCTGAGTTAAACAAAGGGGTGACAGCCTGAAAGCTGAAAGCCACAGGATGTGGAGTCCTGGGATTATATGATAATTAGGCAGCCCAAGTAGTCTCCTAGATATGTGATTTTTTAGGAAATCAAGGTGGAAAAGTGCTGCCACTGCTGCCCCTTGCACTGTCTGTGTGTCCTTGTCCCTTGTGTCCCCCCCATGCTGCAGAGGGGCGCTGCTGGCCAAAATCACCTGACCTCCTTGAAGGGTGAAGGCTCAGTTCAGGAGGAGGAAATAATCAGGCAGGGGGTGAAAATTAAACCACACAGTGGAAAATCGACAGGAATGGCTTTTGCATTCATCTGCCTATGCTGGCATCTTGTCAAAGGGCTTTTATTGGGAAACCACGGCTGGAACCAGGGACTCCGGTGGGGGGAAAGCTGTGTTTTTCCTGCTTGAGGCTCAGTGCCTCCTGTGAGTTATCCCACAGCAACAGGAGACGGGTTTGAGGTGAAACTTGAACTTTTGGTGCGTTTCCCCGTCCCATATGTTCATGCCTCCCCCAAGCAGCAAATCCAGCCGTGTCAGCAGAAGCACGGGGCCGTGGTGCAGGGAATTCTCGTGCTTCCCAGCCCAGCCGGACTGGTACACGCTCCAGGCAGCCTGATGGCACCGGCACCGCTGGAGCTTGAGCCAGGAGGAGCAGTGACACCCACTGAAGGGAGAATCCTCCTTCCCCAGCACCTCTGCTTCTGCTCCGGGGGCTGTAGCACATGGGAGAGAGCTCAGCCCAGCCCGGCGGGCTCCGGGAGGAGAGGCTGGGGCTGCCCCGTGCGGGATGCAGCCACTTCCAGATGCTTCTGGTTGGTTCCACATGGCTCGAACAGCCCCACGGCAGGGCACGGCTGAGCCCATCAGTGATGCTGATGATGCCTCTGTGGAAATGCCTTGAAGAAAGGGCAAAATGCAGTGAGGGGAGAGAGTGTGACAGCCCGGATGAGGAGCATGGTCAGGGGGAAGAAGAGCTGGTCCAGGTGCTGGAGTGCTCCCTGAAGTCACAAATGGTGCAGATATCCAAGTCTGTGTCTAACACTAATTGTAAACATATTCTCTCTTTTTTTTTTTTTTTTTTTTAAACTTAAATCCAGCCTGTTTTACCCACGTGGGTTATCGGTGAGCGATCCCGCTGCCTTTATCCCAACCCACGAGCCGCTTCGCCTCCCCTTCTCCCCATCGCTGGTGCGGAGCCGTAACCCAGGGCAGCTCAGCCCAGTGCGTCTGGGTCAGAGTCCCGGGGCAAAACTCCCCGCACACCCCCGGAGCCCTCCCCGGTGCCGGGTGTCCCATTCCCTTCCCCGTTTCCCACCGCGCTCCCGGTCTCTTTTCCCGGTGCCCGCCGCTCTCGGTCCTCCGCGCCGCCAGGGGGCGCGCTGGCGCCTGCGGCGCTCCGAGGGCGCTCGTGCCCGGCGGCGGAAGGACGAGCCGATGGAGCCCGGCGGGTCCCGCCGCCTCAGGTGGGACGGGCGGGGGCACCGGGGCGGCCTGGGAGGCACCAGGGGGACCCGCAGACCGGGGGGGCACCGGGGGTGGCCAGGCTGGGCGGCCGCAGCGGGGTGTCGGGCTCCCTCCGCTCACAGCCCCCTCTCCTCTCCCCCCTCAGCACGGAGGAGCGGCCGGCGGGTGGCGGCCCCCAGGCCCCGCGGTGCCCCCGCGGGCAGAAGGATTTCTTCCCTGACGGCTCGGCCCGCCAGGCCGAGAGGCTGCGGCGGTGCTGCGAGGAGCAGTGGTGGGCGCTGTCCGAGGAGCGCCTGGAGCGGCCGTAAGTGCGGCCCTGGGGCTGGGCATGGCTGGGTCCCCTGCAGGGGTGATGCATGGGGGGCAGAGCTCAGTTCCGGGGTTATTATCAGCAGGATCGAGCTGCTATTCAGCAAGGAGGTGTTAGTTAAAACAGTAAGGGCCCCCTCAGTTCCGCACACAGCTTTGCCCGGTTGGAGCAGCAGCAGCAATGGGACACAGCCTGGCTGTTGCTGCAGGAGCAGAGGGACACCCTGGCACACCTGTGGCTGTTCAGAAAGTTCCTCAAGGGGTTTCTGTCTTTCACGGGTGTGTGTATAATCCTGTAGGCCTTTGCAGACAGCAGCCACTGTCCTCTTGGGCATGGTCTGAGTTACAGAGCACCTTGTTGATGCTCCTGTGTGGCCCTGTGCTGATTTATCTGGCTCTCAGTGTCCCTGGTTTACCAGTTTTGGTGGTTTCAACAACACTCCTGCCAGTCTCTGGAGCTTATCACTCCTTGGGAGATGTTCACACACTGCCTCTCAACACACACTTTCTTAGTTTGGCCTGCAGCTATTAGTTTTTCCTTATGAAAAGTTTCTCGCATCCCGTGGGTGAGGTACAGCAATTTGAGTGTGTCTTGGCAGCAGCTGAACGATTGCATAATACAGAGTCACAGAATGGTTTGGGTTGGAAGGGACCTTAAAAATCATCTCCTTCCACCCTCTGCCATGGGCAGGGCCACCTTTCACTAGCCCGGGTTGCTCCAAGCCTCATCCAACCTGACCCTGGACACTTCCAGGGATGGGCAACCTGTGCCAGGGCCTCAGTATCCATATATCCTGGCTTAGGCCATGCATCTCCAGCAGGCTGCTGTAGCCTATGGACATGCATCTGTGATGCTGACTGAAGGCACTTTTAACTCGTTGGTGATGATAAAGCCTTCCAGATCCAGGGAATGATGTCTTTCTGACGTCTCCCCCTGTAAAAATTCCACCTGTGACTTTGCTGCCTTTTGACACCTTCCTGAGCTCATTGTGTTGCTACCCTAGGAGCTGATTGTAGGACACACCAGTGGTAACAAACTAATCTTTAACTTTCTCAGGGGCAATCGGGTGAAAGCTGAGTGGAAGCCAGGACAGGGCATCGTGGAGCTGCTGTCCCCTGCGGTGAGTTGCTACAGAATGTACTCAGAGTCCTCACATCCTGCTGCCTCACAGATTCCTTAATTTGCTTTTTGAAATGAGAGGGAGCCTGGCTGTCTGCAGGGAGCAGCCAGAGCCCATCAGGAATTTGTGCTTCTGTTGCAGGGGAAGTTCTGGCACACCATGGGGTTCTCGGAGCGAGGCAAACAGTGCTTGCAGCCTGAGGAAGCTCTGTACCTGCTGGAGTGTGTAAGTAGCATGGGGGCATTGGGTCCTTACTGAGTGTTTGGAGGAGCTGTAGCAGCTGATAAACACCTGGTTTTCTCAAGGAGTTATCCCTTTCAGCGTGTTTTCACGGAGTCATCCCTTGTACCCTGGAGCAGCCTCTGTGTCACTGGCAGTGTAGTTGGATTGGTGGTCAGTTTATTCAGCTGGTGTCACATTTAACTCACTTAAGCAGAGATCTTTGGGGTTGCTGCTTGGGATTTCTTCCCAGTATACATGGCAGAGAGAAATTTATATATAACATAAAAAAATTTGCATGTGGCAGACAGAGGAGTGAGACCACGTTGTGATCAGTGCTCCCCTGCTTGCAGAAATACTGCTTAGGGTTCACTTGGACTTCTTTGCTGTAGAGAGTGGTTTTTTGTCTCTCCAGCAAAGCCTTTTATCAGTAGAATAGGTGCATTGATATAAAGGGGAACTTTTATCCCCTAGCAAAA